AATACACTGTGCTTCATTTTTGTTCTTGTTAAATGCCGCATTTATTTAGAACAGAACCACTGAATATAATATGCTTTTAGTTAGAACAGGCCGTTCCACGTAACGGTCGCCTTTAATGTCTAAGTTTTGAAAAGAAGTTGTTTTAACTTGGCTTTTTCTACTATTTGTTGCAATAGTAATTAGGTTTCAGCACATGATTAAACAGAGAAATGTTTTGAGATCAATAATGCCATTTTAATTTAACTCTAGCTCATCCATGAGGGAAAAAATCGAACTTCGAAAACACAGTTATTTGTAAAATAGGTGAGTCCGTAACGATAATATTTCAGCTATTTACGCGTTAATTTCGGAACTATAAAAAAGTTTTATTTTCATTCGATAGCCTATGGACTTTTCTACAGCATTGGCACCAAACGTTTTCACATAAAGTATAGTGATTAGCTGAGTTTCCGATAACTTTAGATTGTTTCGGAATGACTGTTCCATTTTTGGTGATTCCGTAACGATATTTTTCTTATAAAACTCGAACCATACATTCAAACTTAACCGAAATTTTACAGATTGTCGGGCACATAATTAGACAGATTCGGTAAGAGTTTAAGCATCTTATCTGTTAAACTAACTGAGAAATTATAGCCAGAAGCAGAAAAAACGTGATTCCGTTACGATCATTTTGGCCGAACACGACTGTTCAAATACACGTGGTTATTTTTTAACAAACGAAGAAAAAGTTTCTTATACTGGACCAACGGAATTTCAGGATATTTCTGAGACAAAACTGGTTCAGAATTTGATGAGGAATCGGATAGGAGAATATAAGTCGTCACATAAAGTAATTAAAACATCAGTAATAATTCCTGTTACGGAGACACACTGCGCTTGGATTCCGTTCACGTCGGCCAAAAAGATATCTGAATGTGCTCACCTTTGGAGCACGTCTCACACAAGATACAAACGCCTGTTGTTTGACATTATAAATTTTGGAATAGCTACCTCAGCACTCGGCGTGGGAGTAGCTACTATCCATTTCAAAATAGTAAGCCCCGTCAGTGTTGACCTTATAGCTCCGGAACGGTGAAAGATAGAGAGGTGCAGTTTTCACCATTCGAAAGAGAAATATGGGGCTACGATACCCATGAAACAATAAGTTTACTTTTGTCGGAACTTCAAGGTTTTTGAGAGGGTCTTTGAAAGACTTCGGGTTTTAGGAACTTTGAGTTTTGAACTTTTTGATTTCATTCAGCAGACATCTAGCCCATACCTTTGTCTACATTTTAACGAAAGCCCGACATTTTTATCATATTCCTACAAAAAACGCCGATTTTCCCTCCAACACGACCGAAAAACAAGTTTTTGACATACCTCAATATGTTTTGCGTGAAATAAACTTTAAGAAAAATCATTTTCGTAGGTTTTCGAGTATGTTCTTTCACGTGGTGCAAGTTTCACACTTCTCCGATTTTTTTCATTTCTCTTCTTCTCTTCAGTTTTCATGAAAATCTCTTTATTTTTCATTCACGCATCCTCCCTGCCATCCGAATTGATATCAAAGTCCTCTTCTTCATCCAGTTGATCCTCTTCAGCAAGTTCCGGGTCGATCACTTGTTCCACGAACTCGTCCGCATGCTTAAAAGTCTCTTCCACCCACTTACAATGTTCGATATATGACGTACAATCGTCCAGTGCAGAAATCTAGGAGTGAAAGGATAGTTATGTCACTCAGCCGGAAGTGAGTATTGTTTGTTCGAACAAACAACTCGACTATTTGGTCTACCAGAAAACAGTTTATTTCATAAAATCATCCAAAAACACTATAGAAAAACACAGAAAAATACTGTAAAACAACATCAGTATGTGATCGACACACAGAAAGACATCACTGTTGTCCGATTTCGAATAATTCGATTATTTTTGGATGCATTAATAAATCATTAACTATTTCATCTTTTCCAATTTGAATATTGACTGATGAATCAGCTAGAATATGAACATGATTTAATAAATGACGTTCCCATTCAGTTATTAAACCTTCTTCATCAATCGATTCTAGAGCAACAATGTCTACTAAATTTCGAATCATCTTTTTAAATTTCAAACTTTCTATACAACCAGTATCACTGGGATCTACACATAAGAAGAAAAATACTGATCAACATCACAGTAAACGCGTTTTTAATGCATACCCATTGAACTAACAAGTGCTTCAATACGTTCACGATTTGTTAAATCTGTATCTAAAACTCTAAGTGATATATCGCGTGATATTCTTGAAATTTCCATTGATGATATTTCATTTGCTAATCAAAATATTCTTTCTAAACGAAAAAACAAAATAATTACTTGATCATTATCATACACTAAATACCAAATCAAGATAGAACTGATCAATGAAAAAGAACACCTCTTCATTTTGTAACAATGTTAGCTAATAAAGGACGAGGGTATTCGTTCATATTTAAGCTGATTAGAACGTCTTTTCCAATGTTTAGACCGATCATTTTGCTACTGGAACGAAACGCTGATCCATTGTTAAAAGATTACAATGGCATTGATTCTTGTGCAGCATCGATGGAAGTTGGAGATCCCAAATGTAATAACATGGTTGGTTAACAATAAACAGAAAATATGCCTGTTACAAGTACTGCTCTTTTTCGTTTACAGGTACCGTTTGATCTCTCTACACAAACAAGAATTTGACGAAGATCCAGATGCCGAGAAAAGTTATGAATCAGTATTAGATGATCTGAAAGAAATTGCTCGTTCACCGTCTGTTTCCGCTGATGATAGGTGATAGTAAAAGTTATTTTAATCTTATTTATCTGTGATATACATCGTGCATAATATGGCGTCATCTTGATTGAGAACAATTTTAAACTGTGTATTCTGGAATGAGAACAATGTTCTTAATCATTTCTCAAGTGAGAACATTTTTAAACGATGCACTCTTGTAGGAGAACAATTGTGCACATAATCTCGAAGGAGAACAATTAGATATGCATGATTATCATTCTAAAAAGAAGGAGATGCATTAAGAAAAGTAAAGATTAATGCAGTTATAGAAAAAGTAATTCAAAATAAATATTCAAGCGTCAGTGTCTGAAAGTTCTTCTTTTAAAAGACCATCTGAATAAACTGCTAAAGTCAATGGGCTGACTACTATTGATACACAACAATTATCTTACTGGAAAATTTTGCGATAGAAATGAACGTTCAGACGCATATTTCTTTAGTTTTTCGAAAAAAATCGTGTCCGAACGCGTTTTTGGATCAAAATTGTCCTCAGGACGCTTCCAAACGAGCTTTTTTATCTTATTGAGAGAAAAATGTGTTCGGACGCACCTTATTTTTCGATTGAATGAAGGATGCGTGTAGACGGCCCCTAATTTTAAGGCGCGTTCAAACGCACTTAGAGAATCTGATTAAAAAGAGAGTGTGGTCAGACGTGCATATAATTTTTTCCAAATCTAGACGATTGTTTGAGAATGAGAAATGTCTTTAACCCGTCTAGACGTGCTCATCGAATACTGTTCGACAAGCAAAAGATAGTCTAGACACGCCCCAATTTTATTCAGTATTTTAAACGCATTTAGATAGATTTTTCATCTCGATCAGAGAAAAACGCATTCAGATCTGTCGGTGTCGGCGCTATAGATGAAGAAAAAAGGAATGGAAAAAACTTGGTTAATATTTTTCGCTTATAACTTTTTTTCCTAAAGGGTTGCGAAAGAGGATCCAGGAGACTTTTGTGTAGCACTGTCAGTATATCTCGAAAAGGTAGTATACCATTCGCTTTTCTGATAAAAAGTTTCGAAAATTCATTAGGTTGCGGTGAGAATAAATACCTCAATAGTGCAAATATCGTGTGCATCTGAAGTGCGTCGAATAAGCAAAGAAGTTGTTTATTCATCTCACCCAAACAGAAAGATTGATAAAACTTACTCAAAATTATTGATTATGCAGCTAAATCTGATACGCTCTATCCGAACTCTGCCTCATTTTATTTGTCAACAGGTTTTCAAATTTAAACTTTATAAATTATTTGAAGCAACAGGTTTTCGGAATCTATATTTCCGAGTTACTACTGGAATCCATTCTTTAACTGGAAAACTGAAAAACATTTCTCAAAGACATGGGCGTATAGAAAAAGAAGAAGAGAGTTCAAATACTTCCACACAGGAGCATAAATAATTTGATGCATTCTTTTGCAGGGATTTTATATAGGAAAAGAATGAAAAACAAAATCTTTTTATACAAATCTTTTGAAAACAAGGCGCTTCTTAAGGTAATTAAAAAACTTTCTTCATGTTTTAACCAGTTTTCCCTCCGGGAACACTGTGCAACCAAGGTGAAAGATTTACGTCAGGTTCTGGGTATAGTAAAATAAGTACACAGCAGTTTCATTTGTAAACACCCTCTCGCTTTCACTAATTCTTTACTCCTCATAGGAATTATGCTAACGATGTGTTGAACATTAGAAAAATTTTGATCGTTATTTCCAACACAGCTTCAATCTTAGACTTCCTAAGTTCTGTCATATATTTCTTAGTTATGGATCGACATATAACTAGCATTTGATCTCAAAATAAAAGTGAGAACGGTTATTGTTTTATGGTTCGCCTGTGAATATTACCGATAAGGTGACGTTTGCTGTATGTGAAGAAAACATTCACGCTCCGACTTTCAGAGAATGTATATCGATAGATATTTTCGCTAGGACCAGTTCGTTATTAGAGCCAATCTAATATTCTGTGAATGAGGCGGAATGGCTGAGCTCCAGTCCTCTGTGCATCGAACAGAACCGAACTGATCGTCGCTACATCCTGAGAGTCACTAACAGCAAAGCGATCTTACACCGAGGATATTCACAATTTTTAAAAAAATATCAACCTTTGATGCATTTCTCACTTCTATGCATTTTTATTTTGAGGTCTTTGCACGGTAAACATCGATTGAGAGAAAGAACATAGAAAAAGTCCTTAAATACATTGTATTTTTTGAGAAAGAAGACCTTTTTCATCTACGGTGAAATTCCTATTCCGGAGTTTATATTCTAATTTATATTATATAATATAAATTAGAATATAAACTCCGGAATAGGA